CGAGCTCCCGAACTGAATTTTTTCCTTCCGAGGTACTCCATCTTGCTACTGTGGACCCTCCCATGATCATGTTAATAACACTACGGATGGGCCACTTTGTTGCTAGTGGGTTTCGGGGAGGCTGGTCTCTATTTTGATACCTGCTCGATTGTGGCATTTCTCTTGGTAGGTTGGCTCCGATCCTCCCGCTTGATGAACTGCTTCAAATAACCTCAGTGGATCAACTCCTCAATCTCGTTCTTGAGGTTGTGGCGGTTCTCTGTGTTGTGGCCGATGTCCCTATGGAAGTGGCAATATTTGTTGGGGTTCTTGTTGGTAAGGCCTTCTTTCATCCGAGGTGGCCATCTGACATATTTGGCTGTCTTAATCCGCATTAGTATTTCCTCCGCGTTTAGTGCGGTGTAGTTTCGGTTCTAGACTGGGGGAGTGCGAGAATGCTATCCCGAGGACCTGCCACTTCTGTACGGAGACCTACTTCTTCTCTGCGGCGGCCTACTGCGATGGTTGCCGGGGGACCTGCTACGCCTCGGTGGCTTACTCTTCCGAAGCTGTTTGCTGCTCCCTGGCTTGTCCTCTGACCTCTTCTGCTTGTTGCTTAGCTCCAACCGGGATTCGAGCGCTTCTTCGGCCTTTGTAAACTTGGCCTCTTGGTTGAAGAACTCCATGGAGGCCGGAAAGTTCAACTTGACCTCCCAACACAAGTCGGGATGTCGGATGTCGTTGATCGCTGCGGTGAGTTGGACGATTGGGTCGAGGTTGGGAATCTGAAGTTGCTCCAAGGTTGAATCGTTTGATGTAGTCCCGGTGCTTCTTGTCAGGTCGCTAGACGACATTCAACAAACAGGTCACTGACTTCGGGCACCGCTTGCTCGTCGCAAAGTGCGTAGTAAACAAGTCGGTGAACTGGTTCCAACTCTTTATAGAGCCAGCGGCTAGCCCCGAATACCACATCCGAGTTGTGCCCCGGAAGGTGGTTGGGAAGGCCATGCAAAGGCTTGCGTCATTTGCCCCATGTAGCTGCATCATGGGTTGGAAACTGTTGAGGTGGTCGATCGGGTCGGTTGTTCTGTCATAGGATTCCAGGCTATGGGCCTTGAAGTCTTTCGATCACGGGGCCATGAGGATCTCCATAGCTAGTGGCGATGTTCAAGACATTGATTGTGTCGATCTGGCTCACCTCCTTTTCTTCTTGTTTCTTTTCCGCCTCATTGTCATTCGGAGCGAGGCGATTTGTTCCTGTAACATGGCGTGTGCATTTGCGACGCCTTCTCCAGGACCCTTTTATCGAGCTGGTAGCCTCGGTCCCGATCGGTGCTATGGCCCGACTTTGTTCCTCTACCAGGACCTGGTTCTGTTCTTCAGAACGACGAGGTGGGTCAAGTATCGGGTTTTGATTCTGGTTGCCGGGCTGCAGGTTCTGATTTTGGTCGGTGTTCTGCCCAGTGGTCTGATCTCGCTGGTGTTGTTGTTGCTGTTGTTGCTGTTGCATCCTAGCTAGGGCGGCAAAGCGTCATTCCTATGTCCTCATCTGCAGGTTTATCCTGCGGACGTACTGCATCAATTCATTGAACTGGCGTGCCTCGATCCTGATAGGAACCGYTGAGGGCTCAACCGGAGGGAGAGGTGTGTTCATGTTAGGCAGAGGAAAGTTGGGATCCTGCATGGCAGGGATGCCTGATAAGGTCAAGGACACGATAAATTGCCCAATAATCACAGAGGGGATCTCAGGGTGCATTGCAGGTTGGTCCTGCCCCCCTGTGACCGAGTTGTTGACGGGAGTGTTACTGGATGATGCCATTGAAGATCTACATCTACTTAAAAGGGAGGTGTGTGAGTACGACTTTTGTACAGCGTTTCCCATAGACGATGCCAATTGATGGTGCGCGATCTAGTAGCTCCCTACTGGAGGACAACTTGGACGCTGGACTCTGTAGGTCGCTTAGTTGAGCTGCAAAGAAAGAGAAAAGATCAGAGTATCCGGGCCACTTTTACCCGGTGTGGGCACTCCGATGCTTAAGTCAGCGAGTTGGAGTTTTTGAGAGCTAGAAAGCAAGAGAGATAGAGAGCTAGAGAGCTTGAGTGCTAAATCGCGCGTACCTCATGAGGTTGGAGGTGAGGCCCTTGTATAGGCGAGCTGTCGTAAGTCTCACGAAATGTGTCTGAGATCTTTGGCTTGTTCGGTTCGGAGGTGGTTCCATGCCTGGAGGTGGACTCCGTGTAAGCAGGTAATGTCTATACAATCCTGTCCGAAACGGGTGGTGTGATAACCAACTCTTCCAATGTGGCACCATAATCTTAGGGAATTCGGAGGCGATTGACCACTTAAGGGGGAGGTCGCTCAGCACGTCAAGTAGGTCACTAACCAGGGCCAGGGCTGTTCGGTGGAAGCAGGTCGCCTCTTACACCGACCTGAGGTCCTGCCTAGCTATTCGCAGCTCGGCCTATCGGGGTGGTGCCGAGGTCGTTGACGCAGTTGCGAAGTGTCCAAAGTGGTTTGCTTATGTGGTGCTGAGGTGTCAACCAGCTGTTTTGCGATGCCGTGTGTCATGATGTCATTGGAGGGCCAAATTACCCATCATCAAGGACCAAGTATGTGAACAAAGAAAGTACACCCAAATGCTCTCAAAGGAATATGAAACAACTCCCCCTCGGGAAAAAGAAGACCATGTGGTGTCTTAAACCCAAGAATACATGAAGACATATAGTTAGTTAATCAAGACGACAACAATATACACTATACACCCCATCGCCCCAAAGCTAAACTAGAATAAATGAATATATCATGATACTCCACGCCATCTCAAGTATATGTCGGTTTTTTCTTTTTGCTATTCCATTTTGCTGAGGAGAATATACACAACTACTTTGATAAACAACCTCATGTTCCAACCATTAAGCTGCTAAATCTTTTCCAAAGCACACTTTTGCATTATCTGATCTGAATGTTTTTGTGCTCACTCTAAATTGTGTGAGAATCATCTAATGAAACTATCTTACTAAAGTAGGCACCTCATCCTGTGAAAACATCAATTAAATCCAGGAGAACTAAGTATGACCATCCACAAACAAAAGGAAATATCGATAACCACCCATAGAGGGAACAAAGTAGGGACCCCAAACACAATGATTTAAAAGGCATGCTTAGGTGAACAAGGGAGGCACATTTTAGGGTATGTGCCTCGCCTAGGTCCCAAGCACAACACCTAGTGTGCCTAGGTGAACAAGCATCAATTAAATCCAGGAGAACTAAGTATGACCATCCACAAACAAAAGGAAATATCGATAACCACCCATAGAGGGAACAAAGTAGGGACCCCAAACACAATGATTTAAAAGGCATGCTTAGGTGAACAAGCGAGGCACATTTTAGGGTATGTGCCTCGCCTAGGTCCCAAGCACAACACCTAGTGTGCCTAGGTGTGCGCTTGGTGCACCTTGCGCTTCAACCCAAGTGCGCTTTGAAAATCCCCTATTTGCTAATGTTGCTCATTCATTCATCCTAATAAAAGATATTTTTATAGGGATTAAGATTTAAGACAATATGGACTTTTTGTGTTGGCCGGAAGGTGGCTCGTAGAATTAGAAATGCATAATGTTTAACATCTCATTAGCTATTTGAAGTAATTCAATTGGGAAAAAATATAAAGAGATTGAGAGTTCTAAGTGCTTGAATATGTTTTATATGTTATGCTTGGTTTTATTTTTAAACTTTCATTTTAAATATGTATTACATGTTATGTTTATGTATTTTAATTTGAGATAATAGGTTTTTTTAAAACATTTATTTTAAAATTTTAGTTTGTATTTTTAATTAATCTTATGTTTAATATTTATAATATTTTTGCATTTTTGATTTTTTTTGGCATTTGTTGAAAATTTAACAATTTTTTTTTTTGCATTTGTACGCCTTGCTTCGGAAAGGCATGTGTCTTGCCTTACACTTAAAACACTTTCCAAACATTAGTATGAACAATGCCAAAAGTAGAAAAACTCATTTTATTACTTGAAGCAAAAGAATGTTTACAATGTTTAGCAAGTTCACAACTTTCAAGTACTAGACAAAACACCTAATCGATTCAACAATTTTGGAAACAAAACACTAAGAGAATCAAAAGACAAATGCCCTAACTCACAAACTCTAACCCATTACTAGTGCTGCTTACATGGTGACTTTGATAGCTGGGGAGTGCATCCTGAAGGTAGATTCCATGCACCTCACGATCACTCCCAATCATCCTCCCTGACTCTAGATCCTGAAAAACACAATGGTTAGAAAGAAACATCACAGTGCAATTCAAAGTTTTTGTCAAGCTATTCCCAGATAAAAGATTAGTATGTAACTTGGGAATATGCATGTGTCTTGGATCTTTAGTCACCTTTTTATTGATTTCCTCTTCTTATTTTAGGCTTGCATAGTAGTGGGTGGGCTTTGGCGCAACGGTTGGATTGCTCCATTGCGACATAGGTGACCAGGGTTCAAATCTTGGAAACAACCTCTTTGTATGTGTATGGGTAAGGTTGTGTACATAGTCCCTCCCTAAACCTTGCGTTGGCAGGAGCCTTGTGCACTAGGCTGCCCTTTTCATCTTAAGCTTGCATAGTCTGGGGTTGGTGATTTTGTTTTATAAGGTAACATAATAGTTTACACTAAAATATTACAAAATAAAAAATAGAAAAAACTCAAACAGAAGAAAATTTGAGAAATGCTGATCTTATGGGAAAATGATGTCTAGTATTTCTGGATTTTTATTATTTTTTAGAACAGCACAACTAGTAGAGTAGTTTCATAATCCAAGCCCCAGGTTCCACCCTGAGTTGTCAATTTTTCTATTGTCAGATATTTACGTTTGAGTTCCTAACCTTTTTATCTGTGTACCAATTGTGGAACACATCTGATGCTTCTCAGTATTTGGAAGTTTCTATATATGTTTCATTGTCATAAATATAGTTTGGCTTCCTTTTTGTTATCTGATGCCTTCTTATTTTTGAATAACTGGCAGTATGATGCCTCCCTGGAGCTCAACAGACAAGGATTTGTTACCATACCTAGTTTTCTTGTGCAGGTGGGTCTTAAACATATATCAGTATTTGATAACAATTAAACAATTATCTCAATTTGGCATCTCTTGTATAACATTTCATTAATTAACATGTTTTTTTTGATAAATAAAAGTTCATTAAAATTTCATTGATATAAAAAAGGATAAGCAACTGTTACAAGCATCCCATAGGGAGGCACGAGGTGAAGCCTCACTCCTAAAGAGAAAACAGCAAGAAATTTATGTGTGCCCAAAACAACTGAGCCCTCATTTTTTTTTGATCAGTAACAAAAACATCAATTTATTAAGGATAAAGATAATTGCAGCATTTCGGGAAGAATAAAAAGGCTTAGTTCTCCCAAAAAGAACAAAAATAACAATTACTATAAGTCCCAAACATCTGTTCCCTTCCCACCCCTGTTTTGCCAAAGTATCTGCAAAGGCATTTGCTGTCCTCTTCACCCACTGAAACTGAACCTCCAACCCCCTAGTTAGCCACTTAGCCTCCCTTCTCTCATTTGCAAACTTCCAAAGTCCACTGTACTTCTGTAACCAACTTAGAACCAGCTTTGAGTCTCCTTCAACAATTAGCCTCTGGATATTTAGCTCCTTCATCTTCCTTGGTCCTTCCATTAAAGCACATGCCTCAGCTCTGAGAGAGTCACCACTCCCAATGGGGCCTGAATACAATGCAATCACCTTCCATTCTCATCTCTGAATACACCACTAGCACCAGAGGGCCCTGGATTGCCCTTACCGCTGCCATCAAAATTTAATTTTATAAACCCTGGAGCTGGTGGAGACCATAGAGGACAGGCAACTGATGGAAAAGGAGCAGAGTTTGCCACTTCGAACCAGCCATTCAGCAGCATATCTGTAGAGACATCAGCAAACAGGTCCAAGGACTTCATCCAATGCTCCGCCCTAACCACTATTACCTCAATGGTACTTTCTTTATTCCTTTCCTTATCAGAAAAGGTCCTTGAGTTCATTTTTTCCCATAAAGTCCAGCAAATGGCAGCCCTCACACACCTCCACATAATCCTACTCATTTTCTTTGGCCATCTAAGGAAAGAAGTAGCAAACAAGCTTTGTATATTTGGCGGGGGGATCCACTTGCAACCAAATAAAGAGACAAGTTCCATATATTAGAAGCAAAAGGGCAAGAAATTAGTAAGTGGTAGCAGCTTTCACCATTAACCTTGCAGAGGGTGCACCAACTTGGGGACAAGCACCAATTAGGCCTTTTCCTTTGGAGTAGGTCACAAGTGTTGCATCGTTCCAAGAAGGCTTCCCAACAAAAAGCTCCAATCCTTGGAGGGGTCGGCTCACCCCAGGTTTTCTTGACTGGTCACTAGAGCTATAAATGATGGTGGTCTTGGCTTGGGTAACTTGCAGAAGAAGAATGAAGCTTTGTTTGGGAAATGGTTATGGAGACTGACAAAGGAAAGGGATAATCTGTGTGCTAAAATAATCCTAAGTATTCATTGGCAAGTGGCAGATGGCTGGGACACAGGTGTTTCATCTAGGGCCACAAGATGTTCTCCCTGGAAGTCTATTCATGCTATTCTTCCATCCTTCATTCCTTTTATCAGGTATGACCTTTGCTCTAGTAATTCTGTGAGGTTTTGGGAACATATTTGGGTGGGTGACACACATTTGAAAGAGCAGTTCCCTTCTTTGTTTTCTCTCTCAAGGTTTAAAAATGAGCTTGTTGCTACCTTCCTAACCTTTTCTAATTCTGCCCCTGATTGGAACCCGGGCTTTCGAAGGGTTCTTAGAGACTCTGAATTGGATTCCATTTCTAATTTGCTCAAGATTTTGGATGAGGTAGTTGTTGACCCCTCTATATTGGACAGTAGGAATTGGGCTCCTACTCCCTCGGGTATCTTTTCTTGTTCTTCTTTTTTCAAGGAATTAACCCATTCCCAATCGGCCCTTGATTTTCCTTTCCCGGTTGACCAATTCCTCCCAGAGTAGGTGTTTTTTGCTGGGAAACTATCCTAGGAAAGTGTAATACTTGTGACTTACTTCAAAAGAAAAGCTCGAGTTGGTGTTTATCCCCGCATTGGTGCATCTTATGTAATAAGAATGGTGAGAGCTGTTATCACTTATTAGTTTCCTGTCCTTTTGTATCAGAAATCTGGTTTTGGTTTTTTCTCTCTTTTTTAGTTGCAGGTGGCCCACTCCCCCAAGTGTGCAAAGCTTGTTTAACTCTGCTCCAGTGAGGGGTTTAAAAAAGAGAGGTAAGATCTTGTGGAGATGTGTAAGAGCAGTTGTATGCTGGATAGTGTGGGAAGAAAGAAATCAACGAACTTTCCAGGAAAAATAAAAGAACAAAGAAGCCATCATTGATTTAATCTATGTTAGGGTGGTTCATTGGGTCAAGTCTATGAAGCTATTTGAAGGATTTTCAGCAGGAGATGTCATTAGAAATTGGAAATAAGTAGCCTGGTCTTTTCGGTTGATTAATTCCCCTGTTCCAACTTGGACTCCTCCAACTTTGGGGTTCACTAAATTGAATTTTGATGGTAGTAGCGAAGGAAACCCAGGCCCTTCAGGTATAGGTGGAGTGTTTAGGGACAAAGAAGGTCGAATTACGGCCACGTTTCCAGGCCCTATAGGTTGGGGGGATTCTTTGAGAGCTGAAATTTTAGCAGTTTTAGAAGGAATAAAAACAGCCAAACAGCTGAATATTAGGAAATTGCTGGTGGAGGGCGATTCTGGATTGTCTATTAATTGGCTGCAGAAGGAAGATGTTAATTTGTCGAAGTTCTCGAATGAAGAAAAAGAAAATTAACCAGCTCACTCAAGACATGCAAATTCAGTTTTAGTGGTCCAAGAGGAGTGCCAATGCTTTCGTAGACTCTTTAGCTAAACAAGGGGTGGGAAGAGCTAGTTTCTTTTGGGCTGTGTTGTAATTTGATGTTTACTTTTAGGGTGGGGTAAGGGATTTTACCCCCTTCCTGTTGTATCCTCTACCATCTCCTTTTATTAATAAAACAACTGATCCCTCATTACCCCTTGCTTAGCTAAAGAATCAGCCAAAGTATTAGCTTTCCTCCCCACCCATTGTATAACTAGATTCATATGTTGTGTTAGCCATTTTAATTTCTTCATTTCACCTCTATAGCACCATATCACTGAATCCAAATTATTTAGCCAACCCACCACCACCTTGGAGTCCCCTTCTATCACCAAGTTCTCCAAATTCATCTCTTTTGCTATCTGAACACTTTGTAAGACTGCATACAGTTCAGCTTTCAACGAGTCTCCATTCCCCACTGGTCCTGAATAGAGTGCTACTAAATTTCCTTCCTTATCTTTTATGGCCTCTAATTGCAGGACCTGGGTTACCTTAACTGCTTCCATCAAAATTTAGTTTCAAAAAACCTTCAAATGGAGGTACGAACCAACCTTGTTTTAACCTTCTGCATTGAGCTTGAAGCCACTGACTCCAAATATCATCAAAGGAGTACTATCTAAACAAATCCAAAGTTAGTAGCCAATGTATAACTCTAGCCATTACATAATCTATAATTGGTTGTTTGCTTCTCTCTTTTTTTTTGGATCAATAACAATAGATTTCATTAAATAGTAGTAAACTTACAAAGAAGAGGAGCTAAGGTATCTTAACTCCCTAGAAGTTGGGAATGCACCCAAACTAATAAAAACAACAATTACAACTGAGCCCAAAACCCAGAAACCCTATTAACCCCTTGCCTAGCTAATCCATTAGCAAAGGTGTTTGCATTTCTCTTTACCCAAGAACACTGAACTTCTATATTCTTGATCAGCCATTTGAACTTTCTCTTTTCATTACTGTAGCTCCACATCTTAGAAGTGTCTTCTTTTAGCCAGACCACTATGACCACAAAATCTCCCTCTATAATCAATTTCTTGACATTTAGATCTTTAGCCCTTTGTATCCCTTCTAAAGCTGCTAACACCTCAGCCCTCAAAGAGTCTCCCACTCCAATTGGGCTAGAGAACATAGCTATTACATTACCTTTCTCATCTCTTAACACCCCCCAATACTCGAAGGCCCTGGATTCCCCATGCTACTGCCATCAAAATTCAGTTTGATAAAACCAGGAGGTGGAGGGTTCCATGTGAGATTCGAGGTTTTCTTAATTGAGACTGACCTAGCAATTTCTTTCCATTTTGTTAACATATCATCTGTTGAAAAATCTGTGAACTCATCCATTGCTTTCAGCCAGTGTATTACTCTTATATGAATCACTTCTAGCATAGTTTCCAAACCTCTCTCCTCTTTTGAAAATATCCTTGAATTTCTTTCTTCCCATATTGTCCAACAAACAACAACTCTCGCACATCTCCACATGATTCTTGATCTTTTTGTTGGGCAGTCAAGAGAAGAAGAGGAAAACAAGCTTTGCACATTTCTTGGGGAGATCCACCTACACTCAAACAAAGAAGCAAACCATTCCCAATTTTTTTTTTGCCAAAACACAGGATATTAGTAAGTGGTAACCAGAGTCACCAGCAACTTTGCAAAGAACACACCAGTGTGGAGATAAACAGCTATTGGGTCTTTTTCTTTGAAGTAAATCACCTGTGTTAACTCTTTCTAGGAAAGCTTCCCAATAGAAACTCCCAACCCTCGAAGGTATAGGTTGACACCACACTTCCTTGACAGGGAATGACAAGCCAAATAGGAATTTCCGGTTGTATTAGGGATTTAAAGAAGGAGGCACAAGTAAAGGATCTGGAAGGAGACAAAGTCCAAATCCTACTATCTGTTTTTGTAGGCTCCAAGAAAACCCCATCAAGAATGGACAAGATAGTTGAGATACTATCCAACTCTATATCCCTAAGTGCTCTTCTCAAACCCAAATTCCAACCAAACCCAGAATTTGAATTTGAGGGAACAAGGAATGTGGCAATTGGTTCATTTTTGAAGGTGGAGATTGCAAAAAGGGCCGGAAATTGGTCTTTCAAAGGAGACTCCCCAACCCAAACATGTTCCCAAAACTTAATGAGCTTACTTGAGTGCAAGTCAT